TTAACTTAGCTCATCAGATAATGAAAAACAGGGACATTTATTTACATTTAAAAATAGTCTAAATTGTTAGTCGAAGTATTAAATTTAAGTGATGCTTAAGTAATTAAATTTAGACTAATCAAACTAAATAATACATAATATTAGAAATACGAGTTTTTTAAAGTCCATATAAAAAAAGGTCAAAGAAGGTCAAAGAATATATAATCAATAAATTTAGTTTTAAATTATAAACTATTAAAATAAACTAAAAGGTCTTTAATTTATTCTCACATTTAACTATTTAGTTTTTTAAGAGTTTAATTGTTGAATTAAATAATAATCTAAAAAATATTTTAGCTAATTTTAATAGTTTAGAGATTAAATTGACTATTTATTAGTTAATGATATGTTAAAATATGTCAAATTTAACAATTCAATTATAAGACTTAATGTACTACTATGATTTTATTTAAAAAAGAAATATGATTTTTTAAGTTTATTTAATAATTAATATATTTAATTTATAATATAATTTAAATATATTGATTATTCAATAACCATAAAATGTAATTTTTTTTTTATAAATAAGATTGGAGTTAGGATTTAGCAATTGAGAACTTTTTATGCTATTTTTAATATTACTTTTATGTAAAATATGTTTTAAAATATGTAAAATGAAATAAGATATTTTAGTATATCTTGTAAAAGGATTTAGTAATTACACCCACTAGTTTTTTTATTTATTTTATAAATGTATCTACCCAAATCTTATAAATGTATCTTCTCTGTTTTGACGGGAAGATTGTTTTTTTTTTTGGATCATAAGGAAGATTGAAATAATTCAAAAAAAGCACTACAAGTATAAGGCGATCGCGAGGATCCTACCCTCAGAAAAAGACAAAAAGATTAAATGAAAAGTACAGAGAACACTAATAAGTCATCAAGTGAGCAATGTGCGGCCTAAGTTTCTGGTTATACCACCCCCTATAAACGATGATATCTATAATATTAGCACCAATTTTTGTCTTATCTATAACATTACCGTAACAAATGTCATTACGGTATTTCCATACACCATAAACAGTTTTCGTTATAGCTAGTTTCAGGAGGGATGCTTGCCAACCCTTACCGCTCGTACTCTTGCACACCCAGTCTATTTCTTCATCCCACGGTCGCGGGACATGCAGAATCTGGATCCAATCTAGGATTTAGGTCCAGATACACACCGTTTCAGGACAGCAGAATAAGAGATGATTAATAGATTCCTCCTCTTTAGAACAAAGACTACATCTATCATCGTTAATCATACCAAATCGGAAAAGGCGTTGTTTTGTAGCCAATCTTTCGTGACACGCAAACCACATAGTAGTCAGAGCCTTTGGTCGAGCAACATTACTTCGAAGTATATTCTTCCACATTACTTTTGGGACATTACTACAGATTACCATATAAATATCCTTCATCCTAAACTTGTTGCTAGTAAGTATGCGATCCCATACCTGTTGAATATCCACCAAGCTATCCCTCTGTTTTAGGATGGTCCTCATAATCCATGAGGTGTGGGGTTTGATACTGACATTCATCAATCCCTCATGCTTCAAATAATAACTATGAACCCATTTTACCCACAAGCTATCAGTTTTACTACTAAGGTTCCAGAGCAGTTTAACCATGATAATCTTATTCCAGATCTTAAGATCAATGATACCCAGACCTCCATAATTCAGAGGTCTACATACGTTGTCCCAAGCAATAGGGCTCTTCCTACTAATATCAGCTCCACCTGTCCACATGAAAGATCTACACATATCTTCAATTTTATGAATAACAGATCTAAGAATAGGAAAGCGTTGCATCCAATAGTTCACAATGGGAAAAGTAACACTTTTTATAATCTGGGCACGCCCTGCATAACTTAGGAGTTTAGCACTCTAATGATTAGCTCGACTCATAATCTTATCAATCAATGGCATATAATGATGGATAGATAATTTTTTAGAGGTTAGAGGGACCCCCAAATACCTGAAGGGGAAAGGACCCTCCCGAAAATTAGTAATGTTAATGATGTTCTGCTTTGTATCCGCATCCACCCCACCAAAATAAATTTTGCATTTGGCCGGGTTTAATTTGAGGCCAGTGGAATCAGAGAAACCGTTAAAAGCCTTCATAATCAGCTCCACCGACATACAATCTCCTATAGAAAAAAAGAAGTAAATCATCTGCAAAGGAGAGATTAGTAATATGTAACTTCTCACACTTAGCGTGATGGTTGAAATTGGGATCCTTCTGCATTTTGCGAAAGCACCTGTTGAGATATTCCATTAGAATAACAAATAATAGAGGGGAGATAGGGTCCCCTTGCCTGAGACCCCGCTTCGCTTGGATAGTTTTTGTATGATACCCGTTGATTGTTGAATTTATAAGTAACAGAAGTGACAATAATCATTATCCATCGACTAAATTGGGTTGGAATTCCAATTTCCTTCATAATACACTCCAGAGCATCCCAATTTACCATATCATAGGCTTTTTGAAGATCAATTTGAAGCATACATCGTGGGGTGCCTCCTTTCTTGGTATACCCCTTAATACGTTCATACGCTAGTAGGATATGATTATGGATCTGTTGGCCCGACACAAATGCAGCTTGCGAATGGTGGACAACATCGCCAATAACTTTACCCAATCTTGTAGTAAGTATTTTTGAGATAATTTTATAGACAGTGGTACACCCTGCTATAGGTATGTAGTCTTTAATGGATTGAGCGTCACAGTGTTTCGGAATAAGCGTCACCACAATACCGTTAAATGCTTTAAAAAGGCGGTCGTGGCAGAAAAAATTCTGTGCTGCATTTACCACATTAAATTTAATGGTTTCCCAGCTACCTTTGAAGAAACGGGCTCCATAACCATCAATCCCCGGTGATTTCAAGTCCCCAATACCTTTAAGTGCCGTATGAATTTCCTGCTCTGTTATAGGTGCCAAGAGGGACCGTTGTTGTTCCATGTTCAGCTGTGATCCATCTCTCATGGCGGCGACATCAATGTGACGAACTGTGCTGCCAGCAGTGCCTAACAAGCTCTTATAATAATCCAAGACTTCATCTTCAATGTTAGCCTGCACTGTCAGTATTATGCCATCTTCTTTGGTGAGTTGTGATATATTCTTAGAATTATTTTTGGCTTTTACGGATGCGTGGAAATACGAGTTGTTGCCGTCACCCCACTTTAGCCAATCAAGTTTTGATTTCTGTCTCAGTATATTTTGCTCTAGCTCTTGTAGTTTTAGAATCTCTACCTTCTGCTCCTTAATTCGAGTTAATATCGTAGCATTTATCGGGTCAGCCTCAAGGGAGGATTGCGCTGTGTTTAATCGGTTTCTGGCTTGAATAAGCTGCTGGTCATTATGTAAGGCTGGTTTACTGAAATTACGCAGAGCCGGTTGTAATCGCATAAGCTTATTCCACAAGATAAACATTGGATTTCCTATGATTGGGACGTTCCAATTATTCTTTACCAGTGCACCATATCCTTCAAAATCCATAATACAATTGTAAAATCTAAAGATTGGTTTTCTATACCGTTTGTGTACATTATCAGTACCTGTAATAACGAGTGATCTGAAACACTTGAAGGTAAAATATGGAGAGTAGTATCAGTGTGCTGTTGGAGCCACTCAACATTAGCAAGCACATGATCAATGCAAGAATAGATTGTACCTGCAGTGTGATTATTTGACCATGTATAGTAGCTTCCCTTACTTTCCTTCTCAAATAAGCCAACGTTTTCCATCATACTGCATATGTCGATATATTCTGTTTCCGTCACATCATTTCCACCAATCCTGTCATTGCTATGGATAACATTGTTGAAGTCACCCATCAAAACCCAAGGGCCTTGCTGCTGTGCGTGAATGACAACAATATCTTTCCATAATACGCGACGTTGCTCGAGTCAATTCAAGGCATAAACAGCAGTGAACCAAAATAAAAAAGTCTCAGTCATATCATGAACACCACAGTGGATGAATTGACTAAAAGAAATAACAATTTTTACATCAACTTCATTTGAATCCCAATACAACCATACTCTGCCATTAGCATGACGTTGGTAGTTGTCTGCATAGCTGCCCCGCAACATGAGTTTATTTCGGACAACAAACACATTTTTCACTTTGACACGAGTTTCTAGTAACACAATAATTTTTAGACGAAGTTCTAGGAGACTGGAGCGAATCTCCCTAAGCTTGCCCGCGTTGTTTAGCCCCCTGTACATTCCACGCTGCTAGCATGGATCACCGTCGATCAACATTTTTGAGACATTCATATCCCCCAGCAGACCAAATCTATTGATACAATTTAATAAAACTTTATCCTTTGGGGTGCCCTTTTGTTTATCCCTTCCACTTTTAGTAGGTTAATTTTTCAAGATATTGTAAAATGAAATTACATTTTAAAGTGTTGTACTACTATTTAACAAATTTGAAATTTTAAATGCACTAAAAAATTAAAATTAGTACTATAATTATGTAAAATGGGATATTCGGTAAAATAAAAAATAAAAAAAATGAAATCAATGTAAATGTATCTGGACTTATTCAGCGAACTCTTCTTTTTCTTATGTTAATAAATATATATATATATATATATATATATATATATATATATATATATATATATATATATATATATATATATATATATATATATATATATATATATATATATATATATATATATATATATATATATATATATATATATATATATATATATATATATATATATATATATATATATATATATATATATATATATATATAACGAAATAGTACCAATATTTTCCGATTACAACCGTGGAATTTCAGATTTCTTCTGGTAAGCAACGCGACACGTCGTCGTTTTGCACAGTCGGTTCAATTCTTCAATCCGTGATTCTGAATCATTTCCTTCCCTTCACAGCAATTTCGTTTTCAGAATTTCGTCAACGAATCTCACTCTCCTCTGTTTCTGCATGTCATCATGGCCTCAGGTTCAGGTGTATTTGAATTTCTCTCACCACTTAGTTTTTCACATTCTTTAACGTTTTAGATTTTCAATTGATCATCTTTTCTTGAACTATTAGTTCTTCAATGTTAAATCTTGGACTTTGGGGCTGTAATTATTTTTCAATGGTTTTAATTTGGGGATTTTAATTATTTGGTGTGAAGATAATTAATTTTGAGCATATTGATATTGAAATTGGAAGGACTAACAGTTTGATTAATTATTAATATCAAAATGTATGTTCATTTTTTGTTGATGTAGATTTTGCTTTAACGGTCCCTTCTGAACTGGAATCAGCTTTGAAGTTGAAGACCGTTAACTACTTTGTTACAAGGAGGCCATGGCTTGGTATTTATTTTCATGCTACTGCACTGGTTATTTTACTATTGTTTGTTTGGTTTTAGATTTTTGATCAAACTCACTTCTAACTGTTTATATGTGTTTTGTTTAAAGATCTTTATGGAGTTAATGTGAGACCTGTTGCGCCGTTTGGAAGTGCAAGTAGAAAGCCTTATGTGGATTCCGCACTTATACATCGCGCCTTACCAGATGAGCTGCTCTTTGAGGTATTGAATTTGACATGATGTAGCTCTACTATTCGGTCACGGCTTCTTGACATTGGGCGAGACTAGTTATATAATGCACGGGAGTAGTTGCTTTGTTTGTGTTGTATGCTTTTACTTCAGATCACTCATGCAATGATTTTTATGTGATTCTGTTGGGTCATTTTATGAAATAACGTTAGAACACGTTACCAAATCTCTTCATTTAGATGAAATTTATAAAAGGCATCATTTTTACAATATTAAATAATCATCTCTCTTTTTCTCTTGCACAACTTAGTGACTGTATTGGGTGCATTATTGTTGGTCCTACAGGTTTGAGAACAGAAACTGTTCTTAAAATCTGAACCAGAATGTGGATATTATGAGTCTCCTTTTTACTTTTTAGGCCTTTAGACTGATTTTTGGACAAAATAGATGTGTGAAAATTCATGCACAGAAAGGTTTATAGTTTTAAACAAGAGCATCTGTCTTAGAGATTATTGAATATATTTTGCAGGTCTTTGCTCGAATGACTCCATATGATTTGGGAAAAGCATCTTGCGTGTGTCGGAAGTGGCGGTATACAGTCCGTAACCCTGTATTTTGGCGCAATGCATGCTTGAAGGGTTGGCAGGTAAGGTCAATGGAGGTTTAGAATATGGAACTTTTTGTAGGTTATAAGGTTAATGTCTGATTATGAAGCCTTCTTATGAAGCTCTCTGGAGCGGTTGAAAACTACCGGATACTTCAATCAAAATACGACGGCTCATGGCGGAAAATGTGGCATTTGCGACCAAGGTTGCGAACTGATGGTAAGGGCCGCTGTCTTTTTTGTAGCCTTATTTCTTGCTTCTCATATTGATTGGCAACTTGTGATGGTTCAATTATTTATCCTAGATGAAACAAATATTGTATGGAAATTTATTGTATTTAAAGGTGTGAATTTCATGTAGATTATATGATTTCCCCTCTCCTCCACTGCAAATGATAAAAAAATACTAATATGCAAGTGCCTGTAATATCATGCTTACAAAAGATTTGCATGATTTTACTATTCCTTTTCTGCTTTACTATTTTGTCTATGCCACATTGTCTTATTACTGTCCTGTATCGTAGGTCTTTATGCAAGTAGAAATACCTACATTCGGGTTGGAGTTGCAGAATGGAAAATCACTAATCCAGTTCATGTGGTATGCATTCATGTCTACTTGTACTACTATGAAATAGACATCCTTTTTAAATTCTGTTCATTGTTAGATCTGCATTAGATAGCATGTGATTAACAAGCTTAATGTCAAGTATTTATCAATTTAATATCCTGGAAATAAGATGTAAGCAGCAACGTGCATAGCTGTAAACAAGTTGGAATTTTTACGTTTTTTTTTTTTGTCATTTTCAGTCTATATTTTTCTATTGTAATTACAAAATGTTGCTTTGTTATTTTGCATCTTGTTTTCAAGTTCATTCACAAGAACGTGAAAATGGGAAAGTCGCTATAAATGTTAACATATCAATGAAAGCTGAAAACAATCAATAAAGATTCTTTAGTTTTCTTAATTAGAAATCTATTTTCATCAATTTATAGTGTTAAAGTGTTCTTGAAACTCAAAAACATAAATTGCTCGACGTTGTAAAGTTGTTTGTGACTATACAGAACCTAGATGATTTAGAACCTAATGTTTTTATGTGATAAACCTTGTTCTGTAAGGTTTAAGTGTAATATGCTTGAAATTTTTAATCTACATGCCTATCATATAACCTTTTTCCTAATCCATGTAACCTCAGGAGATTATTGATAACAGTGATGATGCTGTTGTCCTTTAAGGGTTAAGACTTGAGGGCTGATATGCTTCTTAAACAACCAAGCCTTTCACCACAGAGTAGAGTGAAAAACTATATGCACCTTAGGTCATACAAATTCAAGCAGAAAGTATATCATTATACTAACAATTCCTGGTTCACACAAATAGAATCATATGGATGTAGCTGGTTCAGATAGATTCTTGAATCCTCTGTGCTCTTTCAAACGAGTGTTTCCTTACTTGAATGTGGGATTCATAAAAGCAAACTATAGGGCCACCCATAAATGTCATAAATGAAAAGCCAAAATCAAAAGGAAAATTTTGAATGGAAGTGGGAATTGAGTTTAAGGTATGAACTTTTGACAAAAACTTTTAGTATATCGGAATAGAAAGTTTAGTCAAAACCTCTAGAAACTAGGAAGTGTGTAAACCCCCTAAGAGTGTATGGGTACATCAAGAGTTTTGGACACGATCTCTCGTGCTCCCTTCTGGTGTAGTCATAGAGAATTGTAGTATTTCAGTAGGGAGCTTCTCCTTGTAAGCCATTATAATTATAATTGTTGGGGGGCACTGGTAAGTATGTTGTACTGTCCTTGATATAATGGAATGTTTTGTAACCTGTCTTGTGTTTTTCATCCTCAGTGATGGAGGGTTTTCCATGTAAAATTTGGTTTTCATGTGATATACCGTAAGCTAGTTAGTGCCTCTTTGCCATTGGTAAACATAAATTTACAAGGAGAAATCATCATTTCTTCCCCCAACTAAGCAGCATTTAAGAGGTTTCGTTGGACCTATTTGAAATTGTGTAAAAATGAGATTTTACATATATTTCTCGAATCTTTTGTATGTGAATAATGACCAGAGTAATAGCAAACTGTGAATAAATCTTGTGAAGTGTTTAAATTTTTTCACGTATTTTCTCCATATATAATTTACCTCCATATTATGCAGGTCTGTTATTTCCGGTACCTGAGATTTTTTCCTTCTGGGAGATTTCTTTACAAGGTTATAATTTGGTGCAGTTTGAATCCATTAAGAAATATACGATTTTCCCGTGTTTGATTGTATGAGAAATTGACTGTGTTATACAGAATTCTTCTCAAAAGATCAAGGATGTGGTGAAGTGCATGAACTTTCGATCATCTAAAGCAGACAGTGTCTTTGGTGGACACTACACATTGACAGATGACAAGGTATTTATTTTTTAATCTTCATTATTTTCATATCTACTAGACATTTCTTTTTGGAAATAATATTGAGCATTATTTAAATTTGTATACACATCTTGAAGGATTTGCTATTGATGTTATCATTCAGGTTGAAGCTGCTGTTTTGTATCCAGGCATGCGACCTACTGTTTTGAGAATGCGGTTGAGGTAATTGATAAATTTTCCTTATAACATTTCCTAACATCAAGAACTTGAAAAGAAACATTGTATTCCCTGTCTGGTTAGGTTGGGATTTGATGTACCAATATGTTCTCTGCTAAGGGATAGATCAAAATACATTTGAAGTATCTTCACTAGGTGAAGGATCATGATTCACTTTGATTTAATGATATATATTTTTTAGATTTCGTGTTCACCAATTTCTAGTTGATCCCCCACTGGAACAAAAGAAGCTTGAAAGAGCAGAGTTGTGCGTTTATGCATGTGAAGAGAGCAAACATAGGAAGGAAGGGTATGACTGTTTTTAGGAATAACTGTGTTGGTTGGCATTCATGTACTATTAGTGAGGCATCTTGTAGTGTGTTAACATATGTACCAAGTTTGACAATTAGGAGTAGGACCTTTGAAATGTGGCATATGTAGTAATAAAAGAACAATAAGTGAGTAGTGAATAATCAATGGAGGTAGAACTCAGAAGATTAATGTGGAACAGTAAAAATTTAGTCCAAATCCTTGGAGAGACTTCGGGTAAGCAACCTTTGCCTAATTTTGAAGCCAATCACTGATCAATAACTACATTAGTTCCCTTTAACATTTTGTTAGATGGGTTGCCAAGCATCTTTCCCATCCTTTAGACGTCTTAAGTAAACCACAAACTCTCTAGTTCATTGCAAGGTTACATGCTTGTGTGACCACATCACATTTTAAATGATTTTGGAACAGCATAGTTAACCAAGAAAAACATGAAACTTGAAACAACTGATCCAGAGATTGGAGGAGTTTGTTGAACTATATCTAGTAAGGAAGTTAGATAAACATTTCAATCTTGTTAGAAGAGTAGGTAAATAACCCTACTTGTAATGTTGCCATAAAGATGGCTGGAAGGAACACTACCCTTACAAGATGAAGTATAGCACATCCAAAGAGTTAGATTCAAGAAGAATTTACAATACAGAAATGCAATATCTCAACCACAATTAAGCCTATCATAGGAAGTAAAATAGCAAGGAAGAGTGTGATTGACCAGGGTAGAACCCAAATTAAAGAGTAGTTATAGTACTATTGATTGAGAAGATAAGGAATATTACAGAAGAGAAGAAAATCTCCGTAGTTCCAGAGCTAAGCTCCTAGAAGAAGAGATGATTCTCACTCGGTCCAAAGCTCTTAAGGTCCTAACCGAAAGTTACCGAATGAGTCCCCCCTTGCCATGCCCACTTCTTATAACGGTGTTGCATTCCATGAAGGCTCCAACTGACTGCCACGTCATCAATTATTTCTAACTTCCATAGTCAGCTTAGTTGTAGGGTTTAGACCCAAATTGAGTGTCATATCCGACGATTACAAATAAAACACAAGAGGTACTGTTTAAACGAATATGGAACGGGTGAGGATCTAATTATTACCCAAATATAATTTTGTTTGAAGTGTATATATTAAATGTTTGAAGATTATAATTTTGGTTTGCATCAAGGTTCAACCCTAAGTCCTTACCTTTTTTATCATAATTTTGGATGTACTTACGGAACGCATCCAAGAGCTAGCACCGAGATGTATGCTTTTTGCAAATGATGTAGTCTTTCTTGGAGAGTCGGAGAAAGGTTGGAAACTTGGAGATGAGCTTTAGAAACGCATGATTTTCGCCTATGCAGAAGTAAGACGGAGTATATGGAATGTAAGTTCAATAAAAGAAGAAGCATTTCTAATTTAGAGGTAAAAGTTGGAAATCATATCATCCCTCAAGTCACACGGTTGGGTCCATAATATAAATGATGGAGAAATAAAAGGGGATATAAACCATCGAGTTCAAGCTGGGTGATTGAAATGGAGAAGGGCGTCTAATGTTTTATGTGATTCAAAGGTACCACTCTAGTTGAAGGGAAAGATTCATCGGATTGCGGTGAGATCTGCGATTTTGTACGAGACAGAATGTTGGGCGGTTAAGAATAAATACGAGAATAAAGTAAGTGTAGCAGAGATTAGGATGTTGCGGTGGATGTGTGGTAAGCAAACTTATGTGGTTTGAGCATGAAGAGAGAAGATTAGTAGATTTTGTAATACGGAGGGTAGACCATATGGAGAGAAGATAAACAATTTGAGGAATGGGAAGACCTAGAAAAACTATAAGAGAAGTTATTAAGAAAGATCTCGAGATTAATGATTTGGATAAAAGGTTTTTGATAGAACATTATGGTAGAATATTATGGCGAAAGTTGATTCATGTAGCCTATCCCACTCGGTGTGGGATAAGGCTTAGTTGTTGTATATAGTAAATGTTTGAGAAGTTGATGATCCAATAATATCAGATGACCTAATGGCAAGGTTTGTGAATTTGTTCTACAAAAAGTTAATAAATGGTGCACTCATCCAACATTGTCTTTTGGAGTAAGTGGTTTCTCTCACATGTAAAATAATTAATCCCTATATACCTGGCCTATTGTACGACAATCACCTTAAACAAGTCAATCTCTTCTAATAGTATAAAGAAGTTAGAATGAAATCATCAAAATCCAAAAAGTAGATGTCATTGATCCTTTATCTTGCATCACTCACACTGACTTTTTCATAGTTGTGAAAGTGTGTTGATTTCATGAAATCTGAAAATGGGGATGCATAAATGAACAGTAGAATTTTGTATCCTCTGAATGTAGCATTTAAACAAGGAAAGTATCCGGTTTATCGAATTTTTCCTGTTTTTGTTTTTTTTTATAAGCTAAAGTAATTACTACTCAAACTATTATTTAGCACGACTAACATGTCAAAAGACAGTTGGACTTGCTTTATGCACCATGCTTATATGGATCACTTGAGGTATAGGTTAAGAGGAACAACAACAGGGGCAAACAATAGGATGGATTTGATCTCACTTGTCACTAGCGGTGTGAACACTAATGAGGCAAGTGCATATGAGGAGGACATTCTTGGAGTCGTTGAAGGATGGCAGGATGATGAAACACACAACCCAGATGTGCCAGCAGTCTCGCATAAGAGGGGCATGACCCCTTTTGTCTTTGTTCCATTTGAAGAGGTATAATTGTCTTTGTACAATTTTGTCTTTACTTGTTGTCTTTGATTCTTGTTGTTTCTTTGTTAAGAAAAGAGCATCCTAATGTAGCTGATACTGAAATATTACTATATTGCTAAATATGATACTCCATACATTTTTGCCTTTTTGTTTAGGTGGAGACATCTGTTTTGAATTTGTCCGTGGAGAAAATGGATTATTACGTTCCTGGTTGAATGATGCCCTAAGAGTATATCTGGTTCAGTTGTAAATATTCCGTATGTTCAAATGTAAGGTCGTAATAATGTGTATTTACTTACATGCATGTACAACTAAGGGGTGACGAGATTGATTCTGGCTCATGTTGTGGTATTTATCTTTTGTTCTGCTTTGTGCATCTAGGTAGCCACAAACGGTTTGTACATAATGGGAAGAAGTGTACTTGTAATTGTAATTTGTTACATACAAATCAAGTTGTATTTCGAATCACCATGTCCTTTATTTTAAAATCATAAAAAAAGTCAGGTATCAGCAGGTCCTTCTACTGTAAGCTTCAAATCTTTCAATTTGGAATTTTAACGAGGATGGACTTTTTGATGGGTAAAATGATTGTCGAGAGGCAATTAGAATAAGCCGTGAGACTCATCATAGAATTTCAAGGATGGTACTATTGGAACAAAAGATCAAAAAAATGAATGGATAGCTTTAAAATGAAGAGTGTGAAATACAGGCGAGTTTAACAACAGGACAAGAACTCAAGCATGTCGTGCTATTAATTTGGTCAAAACTGAGTTTAAACTTTGAAGTAAATAAATGTAAGTTTACATAAATGTGCTCCAAAAACAAGTTTGACAATTTTTTTTGGTTGAAAAATGTTATTTGGACACCTTTTTAGCCGGTCCAACACCCTATTTAAATAGATTTCATATAGTTACTATGGTTTTATTTTTTCTTTCTGTTTGGTAAAATTAATTTATAACTGATGATTGATAATTGCAAAATAATCTAAAATATTTTTAATTAAAAAATTTGTGATTTTATTATCTTATTATATTATATTATATTATTAAATTTTATTTGATAAAAATAAATATATTAATAGTAACATGCAAAATAATTTTAATAATATTAATATATATGAAAAATCAAAAATGTCATTAAAATATATAAATTTGTATATAAATTTTATGAATTTTGCTATTTAATATGGATATATTAACAACAAAATTTAACAAATAAAAGAATCAATATACCATACATAGTAGGAGTATTCTATAAAACCATTTATGAAGACATAAAAGTAAAAATAATCTTAATAATTACAATACTTCTCATTATCTCATCCTTTCGTAAAATATAATTTCTTTTCTTAATTTTATAATGAAATAAAATATGTGAAATAATAACATTATAATTTTGAATATAGTTATATTAATCTAATCTAAAATAATAACAAAAATAAGTTTATTGTCTAATATTTTACAATAAAACTGTAACAATATTTAAATTTTTTTTTCACTTTTGTTGATTTAATTAATTCTCCTAATTTGAGAATTATAAACACTATTTTTAAATTAATTATATAATTTTTATTTAATAAATAAAAATAATGTCTAATAAAATAGAGAAAAATAAAAAAATCTTCTACAACATTTTTCAAAACCTCCCTAGTAAATTCAATCTTTTAAAATTAGTAAATATTAATTTTCTAATATATATTGTTAAAATAATAAAGATATAATTGAAAATAAAAAATCATAAGCTAAAAACTACAAGCTCAAAAGTTACTTTAAATAGCTTTTGAAAAAAAAACTCAAAATTAGTTAAAAAACTATAATCTAAAAACTAAAAGACAGATACCAAACAGAACTTTTTAATCAAAATAAACTAAAAAGCTATAAACTATAAGCTAAAAACTTTTTTTTTTTTTTGTCTTACTAATTATTTCAATTATATATGATGTATTTATATACGGCGTCAAGATTTGGGTACAGGGTATACAGTCCCAAGATTCGACCACTCTCAGATCTGATTAAATAAGTGATCCACACAATGCACCTCAAATCTGATTAAACAATGATCTGCACAATGCATCGAGTTGATCACATGTCTGATGAATCCGCACACCTAGATGGTCAAGAATGATTTTATCCGCTTACCCTATACAAGTTTCACATACATCAGATTCAAGCATCCCTTTCACTCACTTAAAACTCTATTTTTGACTATTTCCCAGCTACTCTTGGCAAATCCATCCCACTCCACACACAATACTGAAAGAACTCACCACCATAGAACTCTATCCCATCTCAGTTCCTATTCCAGTTCCACTACTGAGGAAAAACTGTTTCACCTCCAGTTAACTTAATAATCGAAAGCAATTATTAATTACCAATACCAAACAACTCTGTTCCTCATTCAAATATTTGAGTCTTAAAAATATTTAAATTTAAATATTTATATTCTAAAGTAAGTTAGATATAAACTTGCAGTCAAATTTTCAATCTCACACAAACACTATGAATCGCTTCAAGTTAAATCGAGGATAGAAGACAAAATCAATAACCAAACAACTGAGTTTTTATTAATACCACTTTCGATAATAGAGAAAAATCAAAATTTAGTTATTCCGAGTAGCTGAGCTACTTAACCACCATACATTGCTTAATTATCATGAAAACATACAAAGTTTTTAGAACCACACCATCGGTTCCCGGTAGGTTTAGAGATTAGATGCATCATTCTCTTTGTACACCACAGAATTCCAAGAAGGGTTCTTCACAAGAAACGTTCCCTGCCAACAACATAACGAAAAACCCTAAAATCATAACCTAGATTTTCAAAACCCTAAAATTGCAATCAAGTATCAAAATCTAAACAAAAAACAGAAACAGAGTGTGTAAACGAACTCACCGAGATGTAAGAACAAGAGGGAATGATTGACAAGGAATGAGTGGTAGCGTGATTAAACGCGGCGACAGTGAGATGAGAAGCCAAGCCCAAACCTCTCTTGGAAGGAGGAACGTAAGTGTGTACTAAATCCAACACTTTTCCGTTGTTTCTAAGTTTATACTCCAAATACGCTTCTTTGTCATTTGTTTCAAACCTCTTTCCCTCTTCGTTCCACACGATCATTGGATTTGCAGCTCCACCAACAATATTCGCCATTTTCACTCTTCTCGGTAACTTTTTCGGTTTCTTCTCAAATTTTCGCTAATTCATGACTTTATATTAAGTGTTTTCGTTATTTCATATGCTTATATTTAATGCTAACATTATATTTCCACCATTACACGAATCACTAAAATTGTGGCATAGTCTATTTATTTCTACCATAAATATTGATGGTGATGTAAATATACGTATGGTTGTCATAAAATTTTTTAAAATAGTTTTAATTTTATTATTTTTAATAATTAGATTATGCTAACCATTTTTTCAAGCGCGATAAGAATTTCAAATAAAAAAATATGTTATATTTAATTTATTTAATATATAAAATTGTTTTAAAAATTTTATTATTTATCTATTTAAGACATTGAATATATATATATTTAAAAAAATATATCTTTTTAATCACTTAAATAATACTCAAATAATTATTTTAATATTTTAATTAGTGTTCTGAAAACACTCGTTATTATTTTCTTTAATAATTTTATTCGATAAAAGTTAAAATTATATTAAATTCAAATGTTATCATTTTAAAAATAATTGATACAATAAAAAACTAATTTTTTATATATACCATTAAATATTTTTGCATAAAAAGTCACATTTTTATAAGAAGTTATGGAAAATAACATTTTATTCTAAATATTCTCTAAAATTTTATCATCTAAAAAAGTGTAACATAACCATAGAATTATTGATTTGAATAATTTATTCGATTAGGTAGAATTAATTTGGATTAATAAATTCTAACCTAAATTATGTCATTCAAAGAACACTCATTACGTTAATACTTATTAAACTTTATTCTATATCATTAAAAGAATTAAGGAATCATAAACTATTTTTATTATCTCCAAGTGATAAAATAAACATTATATTTTAAACATTACATCCTCAATGAATTCATGAAAAGTGAACTACATGTCAATCACAACATCATCATTCCATTCATCAACAAATAAGAAAAATAGATCCTAAGCAACACTTTTAACCAGATTAGAGTGGCCCCTTAGAAAAACAGGAAATCAGAAAATGATGTCCAAACTCCCACTTGCCAAAGAAGAATCACCACGAAACCAATTAAGATTAGCATGGATAAATATATACCAAGTTAATGATGATAATTGAAATGTAAACGTATTTTTGAGAGAGAGGACGAGTTGAAAAAGGAAAAGATATTGCATTACCACATCAACAGAGTGTCCTCTCATATTCATTGTGACTTTCCCATGCTTGGTCCACCTAACACAATTAACAAACCCAAAATGATCATGCATGGTCGTAAGAAACCTTTGAGAAGAGTCGTAATTTTTCACATCCTATTAAAAGACTTCACATTCCATATGCGAACCTACACAAAACATAGTTGAGAATGTGAATGTATGGAAACTAATACAAGTCAGTATTGTCAAATAGCAGTCATAACATTGCAAAATTTAAACAAATCACTATTGTTCTGCGATACGCTATAATTGTACAATTGCGATATACTATTTAGTACAAATTTTTGTCAAATAGCAGCTAAAACAACACTATAGTACTATATCTAATATAATATATGAAATGTGGTTCACACAAATTAATAGTTGACAGATATAAAAGATATTCGCGAATCTGTACATTCACTATATTGCCATCAACAATAGATTCAACAACACTGACTAAAATGCACACGAACAGAAAAATCAAGAGGATGCACACAAATTAACCACATATTCCTGCAATAAACAACGAGCATAAATTACATTAGGATGCATACAAATTTACTCCAGTTACTCTATTATGCTCGTTGGCCACTTTGATTTTATGTAGTTCACTAATTACACATCTGAAATAACATCAAAGTCGAAGATCTATTATCACTAAAAAATGAACTGTTGAGGATATTGATTGATAGATATCACACTTCATTCCAAAGTATAGCTGATAAGTTGATTATCCATAATAATCAATAGTCCAAAATAAGGTCATTTTCACAAATGACTCAAAAAAAAATTGAAACGAAAAAAATAAATAATACATTTAATAAACATAGATATAAGTAAAGAAGTAAATCAAATAAATAATATACAAATCACTACCAACACCAGGTATGTAATTGAGATGAACCAATGACTGGTTCATTTATGTTTTCAACAACATCAGAACCATCACCAGATGTTGATCCACTAGCAGAGAGACCATCAAATTCTGAATAATATTAAAAAGAAACCAAATAATTAAGTCAAAATCAAATCCAATATATTAACAACTTAAAGACACAAAAATTTACATACTTGATACAATAGTTACACACAACTTAAATTCTTCATTTATATTTAGGTCATTGAATTGACTAAGTGTAGGTTTCAACCAATTCTATGCACAAATCAAATTCTCTTCCATTTCAGGGGTTAGTGAACTTCTCTATGTGCTTAGAACTATGCCCCTGGTACTAAACGTGCTTTCAGAAGCGACAGTGGATACGGGACCTGCTAAAACATCTTTCACCATTTTTGATAAAGTAGGGTATCTAAAAGAGTTTTGTTTCCACCACATAGGAATGTCAAAGTTAAAATCATCATCACAATTATCATTTAAGTATCTCTCAAGATCATTTTTTTAATCTATTGAATCTTTTAGTTTAAGGTGCTCTTTAAAAGCTCCTACTCTTGTAAAATGAGATGGAACTTCATCATTAAGAACACCACACTAAGTGAACTACCCTCAATAAGACTAGTAGATGGTCCAAAACCATGTTGCTTATCATATATACCCTTGTACCAATTGAATAGTTTAAACAACTCCTTTTTATCACATCAATCAGATTAGTAAAAGGCATAGACTCATCATTATACATATCGTTAAAATATCACTCTACATATCTTAACTTGTATCGAGGGTTAAGAATCACACTGAAGTAAATAAACTTATTGATATTTTCAATTCCCCCAATATTTGTCATACTTCTGATTCATTTCATATCCCATTGAGGATAAAATTCTGTTCAAGTTCGTGAATGACCTTTTCAGCTCATAGTGCACTAAAGTTAGTTGGTGGAATGACTTATGAAGGAATACTTGTTTTGACAAAGAAAATTTTATAGTAGCTTCATAATTTTTTTATAAAAAAACTTACAAGACACCTAATATTCTCCCAATTATTAAGATTAGGGGAAACTAACCCAAAAATTCCAAACATCTAAAATTTTCACCATCCATTTTCTCAAATGATGTTTGATACTTTTCAGTAGCATCTAGCATCATATAACATGAGTTCCACCTTGTTGGAATATCAAGACAGGGCAGTTTCTTACAATTAATTCTAAAAAAACTCAATACATTATTTGAACTTTGAAGATCTTTGGGGTGATGACCTCACAAACCTAACAACATTTCTAATGGAAGAAATAGATAAATCATTATGTTTTAAACTCGTCACGAACCGCCAGATTTATAATGTGTGCACAACGGCGAAGATGAAAGAAAGATACATCACTCATTAAATCACCTATATTAGCAATGCTCTTCTTTAAATAAGAAACAATTGCATCATTAGATGGTGTATTATCCATAGTGATTGTGGATACATTGTTTATTCCCCACTCCCTTAAAATCTTTTCAACTTTCCTACCAATTGTCTCACCCATATGATTAGGAACTAAACAAAAACTTAGGATTATATTTTTATACTTCCAATCATTGTTAACGAATTGTGAAATTAGGGCCATGTAGCTAAGATTCAGAGTGGATGTTCGACAATCGGTGGTTAATGTAACACCCAACTTCCCGACACAACAAATAAATAATGAAACATGTATAAATTATAAATATTCACCAAACAGGATGTTACTAATAACCATTAACCATTTTGAACCACATAATAAAGAAATAACTTGTTGAATAATCCTAATAAGCAGAACTCAATTTCAACTTAGTACCCAACACTTCTTGCAAACTCTGCCAAAAGATCTAAGTAAACCTCAGATCTTTATCCGACACAATACTTGACAGAATCCCATGCAAGTTAACAATCTTCTCACTATACAACCCAATCAAATTCTACAAAGGACAATTGATCTTAATCGAAATGAAATGATCTGATTTAGCCAGCCTATCAACAACAATCCAAATGAAATCGTATCTCTTGGGCTGTCTTTGGCAAACTTGTCACAAAATTCATGGAAATGTTGTCCCACTTCCACTCAGGAATACTCAACGGTTGCATCATACCCGACGACTTCTGATGTTCAATCTTCGACTTTTGACAAGTCAAACAAGCATAAACAACTCAACTACTCCCCCTTTCATTGCAGGCCACCAAAATAATTTCTTCAAGTCTTGATACATATTTGGGGCACTAGGATGACCTTCCTCACGAATTCTCTTCTTAAGCTCTAGCGTATTTGGTACACACACCCTGTCTCTAAATCTCATTACACTATTCTTGTTGATTCTGAAGTCACCTATTTTTCCCTGATTGATTAACACAAGATGGTCAACCAATCCTAAATCAACTATCTGACCTTATCTGATCTATTCAAGTATACCACTAGACAACTTCAACATGCCTAATTTCACACTATTAGAAGTTTTTTCACATACTAAACTCATGTCTCTAAACTGTTTGATCAACTCTAACTTTTGACCCATAAGCATCGACATATGCAACGACTTTCTACTCAATGCATCAACTACAATATTGGCTTTGCTAGGATGGTAACTCAAACCAAAATCACAATCTTTCAAACTCAAGCCATCTCTTTTGTCTCATTTCCACTTCTTCTGGTCGAAGAGATACTTCAAACTCTTGCGATCACTGAACACCTCAAATTTGGAGCCAAACATATAATGCCTTTAAATATTTAATTCGGATACCACTGTTGTCAACTCCAAATCATACGTAGGATAATTCCTCTCATGAAATTTCAAATGCCTCGAAACATAAACTACAAATTGACCATTCTGCATCATCACACCATTTAGACCCATCTTTAAAGCATCACAATATACCAC